TGGCTGGGATAAAGCTGTTACCTCTAAAGATGTAATGGCACCATTAAAGTGGTCCAACACTACAATACCAGTACTGCATGGTAGCACAAAGATCAAGGGCAACTGTGGCCCCTTCAGCTGAGCACCAAGACCTCTGCAAAACTGACACTAGTGAGATCTGAAATGGAAAGTTAAATGGCCATAGCAGAATGTTATCAGCAGGACACCAAAGAAATGTTCATGTGTAGACCAGAGAGATGTTTCAAAACTATCACCATTCACATTAGCAGGTTCCTGATCTGGCAATAATTACTGATGGGCAAGGCCTACCTTATCTCTCCTAGTACAGATGGAATCATAGGTATTACTGAGGTTTGCTCCCCTGAGCCTAGACATTAGCTCATCTCTTATAAATATCCTCTTGTTTATTTTGGTGGGCTGGCAAATTCTTTTTCTTGGAAAGGCATAATTTTAATACATACTATGTTAATTTAATTGGTTCAAAGCACATTTTTCTTTTCCTAATTTTTTAAAGAAATAGTCACTCTGTCACCCAGGCTGGAGTGCTGGTGGTATCATTGTAGCTCACTGCAGCCTCCAACTCCTGGGTTCAAGGCAAGCCTCCTGCCTCAGCCTTCTAAGTAGCTGGCCCACTACCACATCTGGCTGATCTTTCTATTTTTTATAGAGAGAGGGGTCTAACTATGTTACCCATGCTAGTCTCAAATTCCTGGGCTCAAGTTATCTTTCCACCTTGTCCTTCTAGAGAGCTGGGATGACAGGCGTGATGCACTGTGCCTGTTTAAAACACATTTTTTTTGAGACAGAGTCTCACTATGTCACCCTCAATAGAGTGCCGTGGCATCACACAACTCATAGCAACCTCCAGCTCCTGGGCTTAGGCAAGTCTCTTGCCTCAGTCTCCCAAGTAGCTGGGACCATAGGCACCTACCACAATGCCTGGCTATTTTTTGTTGCAGTTTGGCCGGGGCTGGGTTTGAACCCACCACCCTCCGTATATGGGGCCAGCACCCCACCCACTGAGCCACAGGTGCCGCCCAGTTGTCATTGTTTTTAATAGGCCAGGGCTGGGTTCAAACCCACCAGCCCTGGTGTATGTGGCCAATGCCTTAACCACTGAGCTACAGGCACTAAGCCTTAAAACACATTAAAAAAAATTTCACATGGGGGTGGCACCTGTGGGTCAGTGGGTAGGGCACCAGCCCCATATACCGAGGATGGTGGGTTCAAACCTGACCCCTGCCAAACTGCTGCAACAACAACAAAATAGCTGGCCATTGTGGTGGGTGCCTGTAGTCCCAGCTACTTGGGAGGCTGAGGCAAGAGAATCACTTACGCCCAGGAGTTGGAGGTTGCTGTGAGCTGTGTGACACCATGGCACTCTACTGAAGGCCATAGAGTGAGACTCTCTACGAAAAAAAAAAAATTCACATGGATACACACAAAGAGTTGTTCAACATAGTCAGACACCTATTAAAAGCATTGTCCAGGCTCCGCGCCTGTGGCTCAACCGGCTAAAACGCCAGCCACGTACACCTAAGGTGGCAGGTTCAAATCCCCAGCCCGGACCCGCCAAACAACAATGATGGCTGCAACCAAAAAATAGCCCGGCGTTGTGGTGGGCGCCTGTGGTCCCAGCTACTTTGGAGGCGGAGGCAGGAGACTCGCTTGAGCCCAGGAGTTGGAGGTTGCTGTGAGCTGTAATGCCACGGCACTCTGCCCAGGCGGACAGCTTGAGGCTCTGTCTCAAAAAATATAAATAAATAAATAAATAAATAAATAAAAGCATTGTCCAATCATGAATTCTAATGCTGCTTATAGCTCTGCATTGAAATATTTACCTGAACTTCTGGAGGCATGAAAATACTGTCCAATTATCATAAGAATAAAAAGTTAAATGATTAATAGCTGGAAATATCATCTTAATCTTCCCTTTTAAATCTAATTAGATCAACAGTTCTCAACCTGTGGGTTACGACCCACAAGAACCGTATTAAAGGGATGCAGCATTAGGAAGGTTAAAAACCACTAAATCAGTGGTTCTCTGACACCCCTACCTCCAGAGAACTATAACACACTGGTCAACACACGGAGGTGGTTGCCATAAGGAATGAGGGATACTGTACTGATAAGTACACATGGTGTATATGTCTGGTCTTTGAAAACCAGGTTAACTTAAGGAGGTCAACTTTCTACTATGTTTGAAAGTAGAAACTAGACGAATGTCACACATTGGAACAGCATTTTTCAAAGCAGTGGTCTTATCTCCTTTTCTCCTTCACCCAGGGGGTAGACACTGCAGAAATAACAGGAAACATAATAATCAATCTGTCCACTAGTGATTACAAAGGCAGTATTGGCAAAGCCACGGCACAACCCAGAATTCCTGACTTTTAATTCTGGTAAGTAATTTGATAGTAAGGAAAAGCTAACAGGAAGATTTTTTTTTTTTTTTTTTTTTGAGACAAAGCCTCAAGCTGTCCCCCTGTGTAGAGTCCCGTGGCTTCACAACTCACAGCAAGCTCCAACTCCTGGGCTCAAGCAGGTCTCCTGCCCCAGCCTCCCAAGTAGCTGGGACCACAGGCGCCTGCCAAATGCCCGGCTATTTTTTGGTTGCAGCCGTCACTGTTGTTTGGTGGGTCCAGGCTGGATTCGAACCCGCCACCTTCGGTGTATGTGGCTGGCGCCTTAGCCACTTGAGCCACAGGTGCCAAGCCAGGAAGTTTTTTTAAACATGACTTACACAGTCCTTTTATTTCATGGAAGGTTAAAATCGTGGTGAATCTATAGATTATGTCTCCAGCTATGCTGAGAGCTGAGGGCTACATGCAGCTGGCTGGTCACAGGTATGCTGCATCTGTGGCTGAAGGAACTTCCAGCACTCACCATACTACTTTAGTGACCTGAGGGGAGACAAGGGGGCAGGAATGTCAGAGCACCTGCAAGAGTGACTCCAGTAATTCTTTCAAGACGACTTTAAGCTTCTTGCAGAGGTAAAAGGTATAACAATCACCAAACTGATTTTTGCAGACATCTTCTATTTGAGGCATGTGCACAGAATTTTTATGAAGTAAAAATTAGCTCAAATGTATGCCAAGTTTAAAAAGAAAAGGAAAAGGACTGACACAAAAGATGCATAAGGGTTGAACATCAAATTTTATTTTTTTTTTTTAGAAACAGTTTCGATTTGTCACCCTCAGTAGAGTGCGTGGCGTCACAACTCACAGCAACCTCCAACTCCTGGGCTTAGGCGATTCTCTTGCCTCAGCCTCCTGAATAGCTGGGACCACAGATGCCTGCCATAACACCTGGCTATTTTTTGTTGCAGTTTGGCCAGGGCTGAGGCCAGATTTGAACCTGCCATCCTCAGTATAAGGGGCTGATGCCCTACCCACTGAGCCACAGGCGCCACCCGAACATCAAATTTTAATTTCAAAACCTTTTATCCAGTCCTCAAATTATTAACATGAGAAGGAATGATAAACTGATTTTATCATTACCATAGCACTGTGTAACAAGCCCTTGTTACAAAATCACTAGTTACCATCTCTAAAACCCCATAGAAAGCCCATACATTATATTACCTAATGATCTATTAACAGATGAAATTTTAATTAACTTTATAGCAGGAAACTATTAACAGAGGTACTTTAATCATGTAGCTTAAAATATGGAGGAAAGACAGGTAAAAAATTCTTAACCTGTAGTAGTCTTTTTACTTTTTAAAATTTTTATAAAATACACTAATTTCCCAAAATAAAGAATATTATGACACATTGGTGTCAACTTACACAGATGAAAGCTGATGCCAGCTTTTTTCTAACTAAAGTTCATTTCACTAAACTTTTATATATTACATGAATATCCAAGTAAAGTATTTTTTTAAAAATTCAACACACATGAACATAATGTACAGTGTTTTATTTAAAAAACTTAGGAATGATTTTATTTTCAACCATATATCTTTTTAAGACCATGAAACCTCTTATCAATGCAGGAAGACTTTTTAGTTCATGTCTCTGCTTCCCAGTTTTAATTCTTAAAGGTATTAAAAAAAAAAGAGGGAAAAAAGGTTTATTTATTGATTTCCCACGAGAAAACTGTGGTAACAACATATTCCCTGCCAGGCTGCCTTCATTCCTACTGTTCTTAAAACTACCCAAGTCCATCAAGGAGTGGTACTGCAATGGGATCAAAGGATAGATATAAAAAGACAACTCAGCAGATCCCACCACCATTGTTAAGGTGTGGGTCACTGGTTCCAACCAACCTTCCCAGTAAACTCGTCCTGGACATGTGCCTGTAAGGAGGACATAAAAGAGCATCTCCATGCATGGCTTACACCATGGCACGTGGCTGGTGGGGCAGAGGAGAAGACACTCCCTCACTGGTCTGTCTCAAGTGCAGACTAACTTCAGCAGGGAACAGGCAGTGAAAGGTACACACACAGCCTACATTACTAGGGCATTAGCAACACACCCAGGACGTGGGAGAGGGTCACAGTGGATAAGCGGACACTCTTCACAGTGATTCTGACAGCCTTTGACTATAACACAAGGGCACCACTTACCAGCACTATCTCACACATGTTTCACTGTGTCCCAGGCATACAGATCATGGGGGGAAATGGGAGATGACATTTCATGGTTATTCTCAAGACAGTAAATACAGCGTCAACTTTCTCTACTCTCCAACAGATGAAGTGAGCTGCTTCTGCTATAAAACTAAATATATTACTGAAAACATCTTATTGAGGGTTGTGCTTTTTATTTTTTTTTGAGATAGAGTCTCACTCTTACCCTGGGTAGAGTGCCATCGCATCACAGCTCACAGCAACCCCAAATCCTGGGCTTAAGCAATCCTCTTGCCTCAGCCTCCCAAGTAGCTGGGACTACAGGTGCCCACCACAATACCCAGCTAGTTTTTCTATTTTTAGTAGAGATGGGGTCTTGCTTTTGCTCAGGTTGGTTGAACTCCTGAGCTCAAGTGATCCACCTGCCTCAGCCTCCCAGAGTGCTGGGATTACAGGCACGAGCCATGATCTGGCCAGAGGGTTGTGCTTTATTCCCTATCACTTCACTGATTTCATTCTAGGCAAACTAAGAACCTACAAAATTAAATCAAAGTTTAGATCTCAAGAGTGATTCTCAACCAAAGTAGAAAGACAGGATCACCGATTCTCTTCTTCCTCCCTGCCCCAAGCCCTCACAGATACTGATGCAGCTGAATGTTCCATTTCCCAAAGAAGGAAACTAAATTAGATAACTGGCATTTCTGTCTGAAAGAAGCAAAACATAAGCCCAAAATATAACAGTGAGGGGTAGCGAAGGAGGGAGGGAGGGAAGGTGCATTCTACATCAAATCAAATCTCTTCCTCTCAGCAGGAGACTATCCAGCTTCTCCTTAGCTATCATTTCATAAATTAATAATTTCTTAAAATCATAGTCCAGAGAATTCATCTATCATAAGAAAAGTTCAAGTTTAAAAAAGCAAATAAATTAGTTAAGCCTTGTAAACAATGGTCCATTTTAGTTATGTATCTTTAAAAAGAACAGTTTCTCTGCAGAGTCAGATGGGACAAGGCACTCCTGACACGTCAAGGTCCAGAGTGACAAGCTCTCAAACCCTTGCCCACTGTAGCACATCAGCCCTCTGCTCATCTCCTGACCACCTGAGGTCCTCACATGTGCTCTTCCCATACGCTGCTTTGTGCTATTTTGTTGTGTGATGTGACTTTTAAGCCTTCTCAGGGTTGGTTTCTCCCCTCAGATGTTTTCCACAAAGCTTCCTGGGAAAAGGCCCGTTTTCCCATTGCGCTGTAATGTGCCTTTGAACCAGCCGTCCTCTCGTTTCTTATGAACAAACACAATGTCTCCCTCTTTAAGCTCGAGCTCCGCCTCGCTCTGAGGAGGGTAGGAAACCACCACCCTGTGCCTATGAGAGAAGGGGAGAGGAACAGAGAGAAAGAGAAAGAGAGGGATTTTAGTTAAGCCTCTTCAAAGCAGAGATAAAAATAAAAAGGATGGACTGTTAGTCTGTACGAGCCTCCCACATACACAGAACCGGCACCAGCATGAATCTGTGTATGAGTAAAACAACTTGAAATACAATTCTTCACTGTCTAGTAGAGACTCGGTACTCACAAAGACAGGGTCTGAATACACAAGTGCATGACAGAGGGCCCAGAAGGTTCCTGTGAGTGGCCTTTTGGGGACAGCCACTCAGGTCCCGTTCTGGGGATTGTACCTTGCCCTGAAGTTTTGTTCCATTTCCCAGGAGGGAATAATTCCTGTAATTTCTGAGAAGAGAGCAGTGAATGACTTTGTAGAAGAGGGCATGGATTCAGTCCTCACTGACAGGCGAAGTGGGCTCTGCACAGAGGCTGGGGTCCAGAAGTCAGGGGCCAGGCTTGCCTTCTGGAAGTAAGTCTGAAGTTTATCTCTGTGTCCCTGACACTGGGGTTAGACCAGGGTGATTCTAAGTAAGTCCACCAGCCCTGCAGACCCCAATTGTCCCCCAGGAAGGTGGTCCACAGGGCCACCCATAGGTTGTGTGTGTGTGACCATGAATTCAGTCTAATACCACCAGGAACAAGAGTAACAGTCTCTTTTCCTTTAGGGCGAGATCTGTGTCTCTCTCTCCTGGTTCCCATATATCTCATTCTCATAACATATGAGGGAAGGTGTAGAAACCAGAGAAACCTGGTTAGTTTAGTACTGCCTATCCCTCTGGCTCCATAGGCAGAGTTCTATCATCTTATGTTCCATATCTTTTGATCTTTCTCTATTTTTCTCTTTCTTTTTTTTTTGAGACAGAGTCTCACTATGTTGCCCTGGGTAGAGTGCCATGGTGTCACAGCTTACAGCAACCTCCAATTCTTGGGCTTAAGGGATTCTCTTGCCTAAGCCTCCCAAAGGGACTATAGGTGCCTGCCAAATGGCCTGGCTATTTTTTTGTCATAGTTGTCATTGTTGTCTGGCAGGCCTGGGCTGGATTCCAACCCACCAGCTGAGCTACAGGCATCAAGCCAATCCTTCTCTCTTTTTCCATTGTTCTTTCTCTCCTTTACTCCTCTCCTGTTTTTCCCAACCATGGCAAAAAGCAAGGGTGGTATCTGGTAGCCAGCCTCTGAGATGGCCCAGGGACACAAGGGTTCAGTCTCCTCCTAGTGTAGAGGAACAGCATAGGTGACCCGTGAAATGTCACAGAAATGACAGCAAGTGAGGGCTTCCACTTCACTTTCTCTGGGATTGCTAACTCCAGAGAAAATCAGCTGCTACTTTGTGAGGACACTCCACTTGGAGAGGACCCCAGGGTCAGAACTACAGCCCCTTCGCACAAAATACCAAAACAACGTGACATGAACAAGCCACTGCAGTAGTGGTTCCTATAGCCCTGGTGAAGCATTAGCTAGCATGGATGCCTGGACTGCAACCTTAAGAGACACGCTAAGCCACAATCACCTCAATTATTTGATCCACAGAAACTGTGAAATAATAAATGTTTATTGTTTGAAGCCATTGGATTCTGGGAGTAATTAGTTACACAGTGATAGGTAACTAATAGAAGATGATATACCTCTTTCTCTGCTTGATGCTGTGCAATTGACAGTCACAGAGATGGTTGAGTTTTTACTTTCACTTGGTTCTCAAAGTCAGAAAATGAGTTTACAGCCTCAGAGGACCCAGTCTTGATTGAAAGTGAAGACTGCTACGGCTTGAAAACAATAGACAGACAAACTCCATACAACTCCCCAAAACTTCAGAAACCCATTAGAGCCTTGTCCTTTCACCAATATCCATTCTATAAAAACCAGAATCCAGGCCAGGCATGGTGGCTCATGCCTATAATCCTAGCACTCTGGGAGGCTTAGGCAAGTGGATAGCTTTAGCTCACAAGTTCAAGACCAGTCTGAGCAAAAAGTGAGACCCTGTCTCTACTAAAAACAAACAAACAAACAAAACACATAAAAACCAGAATCTGAGGCCAGACATGGTCGCTCATGCCTGTAATTCCAGTTCCTTGGGAGGTGAAAGCAGGAGGATCCCTTGAGCCCAGAAGATCGAGACCAGCCTGGGCAACACAGCGAGACCCTATCTCTACAATAAATAAACTAGCCAGATGTGGTGGCAGGCACCAAGTCCCAGTTGCTTGGGAGGCTGGGATGGGAGAATCACTTGAGTCCAGGAGTTTAAGCCTGCAGTGAGCCACACTCAGGCCACTGAACTTCAGTCTGGGCAAAAGAGTAAGATCTTGTCTCTTAAAACAAAACATGACAACTCCTACCCCCGAATCCACTCATATTAAGAAAGACCACAGCAAGAGCCCCAGATTAATTACAGTATAAAAAGTATATCTCTGCAAAGGCCAAATGGCTGCTCAAACAATCTTAAGCTCCTTTGGGCACAGGGATAAAATTATACCCCAACAAGTGAAACAGAAGCATGACTCAGAGGCTAGTTTATCATTCCTGAAAAAGGAATTCAAACACGAATATTTTCAGACCACAAGGCTGGGGGCTCAGTTGTGAACAAGTTAAGGGAGGAGGTGTGGCCTTGTAGGACAAGCCTTGGCCTAGGACAGACATAGCCTCAGTCAGAGCAGTTTAACTTGAGGCTAGTTACCTCTGTGCTCATGGCCTCAGTGTCCCCATCTGTAGAATAAAACGGCAAGGAGCCAAGCAAGCATTTGCCATGTATGCTGACTTCTTAATACAGTATCTAGAATGCAGCTATGGCAAACACAGGCAGAGTCTTGGCTTTTTAAGAGGGTAAAGGATAGGCCAGGTAGTGGCTAGCCACCTCTAAGCAGGAGATAGACTCAGGCCACAACTGCAGCATTTCCTGATAAGACTCAACAAACTTTAGAAAGACACAGTTAGAGTTTCAGGAACCCTTCTTTATCTTTAAAAACCAGACAAATAATTTCACCATGGATTTATCTGAAGAAGGATCTAAATGAGGTTTCTCAAGTCTGAAGTCAACATGCTAAAAATCCATGCTAAAAAGTAATGATGTAGCTGGGTGCAGTGATTTGTGCCTAAAATCCGGAGGGTGATACCTGGAGCTCAGGAGTTCAAGACCACCTTGGGCAAGAGTGAGACCCTGTCTCTAAAACTAGCCAGGTATGGTGGCAGGCACCTGTAGTCCCAGATACTAGGGAGGCTGAGGCAAGAGGATACTTGAGCCTAGGAGTTTGAGGTTGCTCTGAGCTATGATACCATAGCACTCTATAGAGGGTGACACTAGAGTGAGATTGTCTCAAAAAAAGTCATGATAGTTGTCATTTGGGGCAAGTCAAAATTTTAAGCAAAGCTTTTCAATTCTGGAGAAAAAAACATACAAGAGACTCAAAATGCATCCAGAGCAGCTCTCTCATGAGATGTTCTCCCTGATGACTCTCGGCGAGCTGCCTTAAAGGCAAAATGGAACCAAAACAGTTCCTGAAAAATGTGAAGTGAATTACATTAATGCATGCATTTTATAAAATGCACTAAACCAATTTTGTCAGAAAAATTTTTTTGAACTGGAAGTTCTTAGCTAGGCTAAGAACATAATCTTCCTGCCAAGTTCCTGGTGGGAGAACATTTTCACTGCTGAGTTTTATAAACCTTGGGGGTGTGGAGCAAGGAGCCTCGTGCATAACAGAAGCTGTGATACAGCCGAGCTGAGTGGGGCCTGCCTGGTACAGAGCGACAGGCTCCACTCAGAATCTCCCAGCCCTGTGAGGTGGCCTGCACATCACCTCCAACAACGATGTGTAAGGCCAAACACTGGGCCCAGAGGCCAGCTATTTCGGGCTCTGGAAAGCTTTGCCCAGAAGAATGGCTACAGACCAACAAATAGACATACAGCATAGCTGTGGGGCCCTGTCCCTCTGCTCTTTTGCCCTCTACCTCCTCAGATCATGCCTATGTGTGTATGGACAGGGCTGTGGAAAAGTTCTGAACCTTGGGAGTCAAAGATGAGTCCCTCACAACCTCCAGGGACCTGCTGACCCACTTTCACATTCTGCACTCCCTCTACTCCTTGTCACCTGGTTAAGTAGTTACTTCTTCTCTCACCTGGTTAAGTAGTTTGCCCACCCTTCCTGCCTCAAATCTCCTTTTGTCCCTAATCCATCCCACACAGAACCCACATATTAATATAATTACGTGGCGACTCTGTTTGCAGCTACCCATAGCTAGGAAAAGTCATTCACAGCTTCCAAGAGCCTGTGAGTAAATTAATCCTCAGCCAAGCCCAAGCCCTCAATGATTGGGCCTTAATCTTTCTCTGTGGCTGCAGCTACTTTTATCACCAAGAGTACCCAACACTACCCGAGGCAAAACATGTCTCCCATATGGCCTTTACTTCTCTTACCTCGCCTGTGCTCCCACAGTTCCTTCCTCTGAGAATTTCCCTTGATCTCTCTGCCCATCCCCCCATCGATCTCTTAAAGCCCAGCTTCAGTTCTCCTCTGCGCAATCTCCAGCCCCATAACAGGAGGTAATTTCATGCTTGGCAAAGTCCCAGAGGCCTCCACGAACCTTTCTCATGCACTGCAGTATCACCAAACTGCACCATTTATTCAGCCACAGGCTGCTCGAAGGGTGAGATGATGTTAAACTCTTTTTACATGCCTCATACTACTTAGCATAGTAGTACATATAATAATTCTCAATAAGCATGTCAAGTGACAGAAAGAAAAGGCCTAATTGTATAGTAAATCTTTTAAACTGTACAAATCTCTTAAAAAGCAATGGAAGTCTGACACATGCTACTACAGCACAGACAAAACTTGGAAATGTTGTGATAAGTGAGATAAGCCATGCATGCACACAAAGACAAACACTGTATGATTCTTCATAGAGAGTACTCAGAACAGTCACTCCCAGAGACAGAAAGGAGAATGGTGGCTGCCAGGGGCTGGTGAGAGGCAGGGTGAGGGTTAGTGTTTAATGGATACAAGGTTCAGTTCTGGAGATGGGCAGTGGTGACTGGCTAGGAGAATGTACTTAATGCCACTGATGTATACACTTGAAAAAATGGCAAATTATATATATATTTAATATATATATCTCACAAATAAAAAATAAGATGAGCAAATAAATGAATAAAAAGAAAAATAGTTTATATATATAGTTTATATAAAAGAATAGTTATATATATATATATCTCACAAATAAAAAATAAGATGAGCAAATAAATGAATAAAAAGAAAAAGAATAGTTTAAAAAAAGAGACAAAGATGTACAAAGCTGACTGGTACCTTGGTTGGGGACAGCACCCCTTCTCATTTGCACAAAGCAGTGTGGGGGCAGAACGAGGTGAGTGGCGTGGCTCACACTCATGGAAGCAAATTGGAGTGACCAGTGTGGCTCACACGCTTGGTCCTGAATTGGCCTCTGCCTCTCTGTGACTGTGGGACCTTAACTCAGCTTTTGGTGATGGTTACCAGGGTGGGATTTGAGAAACAATCTTGCTAATAAAGAAGCTCCACTAATATCCAATGCCATTCTGGGCTATGGTATTCTACCTTTCATCTGAGCAGGTACTTGTCATCTTTCACTAGTATAAATTTTTTATTTACTTTCCTAGCCTCTACACAGTTCATATTATTTTTGTTCCTGATCTCTCCTGGGGTAGCCCAAAATGGCCCTCCTGTGGTGCTGGGAGGCACTCCATCCATCATCCCGGCCTGGGAGACCATTTACTGCTTCCTGTCAATTGCCATAGCGATCTAATACCCAATTAAGTATTTCACTGGCACAACCACACTAGCTTGCTTTGTAGCTTGCCTGAGTCCAAGTAAATCATGTTCATTGCTTCACCCAGTGGGTTCATTGTCACTGACTCAAAGAAATTAATCATGTGGTTAAGACTGCCTCTCTGTAAATCCTGTCTAAGTTGTGTGTTCCAAGTGTTCTAGCTTAATCTCTGACCAAAGATCATAGGTTCTTTTTCAATTCAGGAGACAGGCTCATAGGTACATGGTTACTGGTTTAAGTCCTAAATTTAAAAATATACACAAAGTCTCCTTGATGTGTCTCCCTAAGCCCTTCATATACACACATACATACATATATATACTTTTTTTTAAAGGAGGAAAAAAAACACCTGTTACACATACTTTTATTTGCCATCCCTTCTGTAAGATTTTATTTCTACTTTCTGTTTGCAAATTACTATTTTTTCTCAATCCCCTCTAAAGTAGAGCCTAAAATATTTGTTCTATTTTCTCTGCTGTTATCAATTATACATTTTTCTGCCTCCAGGGTATAGTGCTATTTCTTGCTTGTTTTCTTCAGTCTGTTTCACACGCACAAAAGAACCCTTTTGTTCCCCAGAGAGTTCTCTTGGCAGACACTAGGATTGTTAGCTCCCTTGAAGGCTTGTCCTTCCTTACTCTGAGCCTGTCTCCATCTTTCTGTCACGTGAGACGCTGTGCACCGACATCACTGGTGCTGCAGCCACATTCTTTTACTCCAGATATGTGGAATAGGGTAACGGTTTGAGAGAGAATTTTATGCTTGTTATCACTATAATCTGTAGATGAATCTTATCCAATAGTATACACTGAAAAGCATTTCAAAGAAATTCTAGCAGAATTTCTACCAAAAGAATCCTGGGCTTCTGCATTTTGTCAGAGCAACAGTTGTGGACATTTATATTGCAAATCAAGGAATTGTGAGGTTCTGAAATAGTTTCTGAATCACACTGATGTGAAAGTTAATCTTTCCTTCAATTTTTAGCATTAAGCACTTTTTATTGTGTTGAAATGTTTGAAATATGAAAATAAGTCCTCTCTAAATTACATAGTTGGTAGCTTTTAGTTAACCGGAAAGTTCACTCCCAATGGATAACAGAACATTTTCCTGTATGTTTCTGCACGTTTTCCCTGTTGTTTTTATAGCCAAGACAGATCTAAGAGTCCAAGTGAAATAAGCACTCTCCTACTGCTGCACGAAAAGGCTGTGGAGAGCTGGTCAGGTTGGCTGTTATGTTTAATATTCTATAGAATGTGGATTATAAACATATAAGCTTGGGCAGAAATCTTCTCCAAAGGCCCCTTTCCCACTTGTAAAAACTAAAACGATGGTATAAAAAACCTGCCAGAGAATTACAGTGTGCCTGGGCCCATCTGTCCCACCAATAAACTCTCTGTGTTTCCTATGTGCTGTGTATCCCTCATGCCCCAAAATGCTTTCACCTGTCTGCACCAGCGCGTCCTCCTTTCAGATGAACTCCTGTTAGAAATGGGCTGAGAGGAAGGAAGTGGAATGCAGAAGCCACAGAGACCGAAAAGGAATGCATGAAGCGGGAGGGTGCCAGTGCCCAGGGAGAGGCTGGCAAAGTGACCCATCACTCAGAGCTGTCACACTGATGCCAGAGACAACAGGGACAGAGGAAAGACACACTCTCCTCAGGGCATGGACGAGACACTGCAGATCAGGCTCTGGAGGAAGATGTGCATCTTTGTGACCAAAGAGAAGGTAAACAAACTGCTAGGACAGAAGGCCCCATCCCTGGACAGCAGACTAGCATTGCAGGGAAAAAGTAACTCCAGAAGGAAAGATTCAGTGAATTCAGGATAAAATCTCAAAGCTTTACTAAGAGCATAGCAGATGAGAAGAAACACAGAATGATTTCATTTGTAGAACGCAAATACATTTTTAGAGTAATGTCTCATTTTTAAAACTAGTTTTATAAGGCTCAGAACTCAAAAAAATCATCTCACCTCACTATAAAAATACATATGGAATTGTGTACTTTAGGTACATAGGTTTGAGGTTTATTCTTTTCCCATTTTTACAGTTTTTTTAAAAGTAAAAAGAATGCCAAAAAAAGTCATATGAATAAAGGCCTCAGATTCTGGAGGATGCAAATGTTCGTATGGCTCTACCTAACATGCAGGGGCAGGGTGAATTTCAGTCATTTTAAAAAGTAAAACATTATAGTAAGATTTCAAATCAGCAACATAGGAAATGCTACCAAAAAGGTAATACCTCCCCAAATGAGAGATCTGCTTAATTTACAAAATGCAGGTACGGAAGAAATGAAGCTTACAGAACCAATCCAAAAGATGATACTTAAAATAAACTTATGTATATATATGTTAAGTGGAAATAATCCACTATTTTTAGTGTGTTTCATGATGTTTTCCTGGGTAACAAGCAGTATTTTCAGTTTATATAATCCAAGTAGATTTTTTCTATTAAATATACTTCCTTTCCTGACACACTCCTATGATCCCAGTGTCTGTTCCAGACAGAACTGCTCCCTGCTGTAATAATTATTCAAGGCCTGAATCACCAAAATAGGCTCATTATTCCAGCTGTAAATGAACCAAGTTACTGGGTCAAAAGGAGTCGGGACGGAGTTGGACCTTGCCACACCCCTCTGGGTGGGAGAGTAAGAGGGGAATTCTTTCAGCTGGCAGAATTCTCAGATGCTTTACAAATGGCAATGATGTCAACTTTTAATAAAAAAGGCAAAGAATAAAAAAGGGAGTAGTTGCTGGTAAAGGAACAGACGAAGAAAGTAAACAGGAATAAGTTTTCAGTGACTGACACATTTCATGTGGATGTTGGCTATGCCTGGTTGATTAAAGAAAATAAAGGAAAAGGAGGCTGCAGACCTAAAGCCATGTCAGAAACAGGGCAGGAGGATGAAGGGCAGAGGCCACTGTAGCAAGTGCTAAAACAAAGTCAGTGTTTTGTGGTGATTACAAATTCAGTTCAAAAAAACAAAACAAAACAAAACAAAAAACAAATTCAGTTCAAAAAGATATAGGAGAACATGGAAAAATACCTTAAGTATCAGAATAAATATTCTAGCATACGGCTCACTATTCGTGGTTCACTTTTCTCCTGGGATGCCCCTGAACTTACCTCTCACAAACAACGGGCCTGGACTCACACATGGCGGAGCATGCCTGCCGAGGAGGGGGAGCGATAGGGACAGCCGAGTCTAGGGAGCTGGCCTTCCGATGGGAAGCATCTTGGGTTGTGGCCACACCTGATGTCATCACTGCAGCTGGGCCTTCCCCATCCACTGGGCAGGAGCCGGCCCTGCCATGGCCACCACCAAGGGGTAGCTCAGGACCCACTGCACCCTGCAGAGGTAGCTCACTACCACCCAGCTCCACGTCCAGGGTGGGTGATGCTGGAGGGGACACTCGGGGTTTCCGTTTAGTGGAGGCACCAGACAACAACTTCAGCAAACCCTTCTTTTCTTTCTAGAAAAAGAAAGGAGTATTAGTTGGAGATGAACAGTACTATTGTTTTTATAACCTCTAAGCCCTTACAGCTACCATGTATGATTTGACCTTTTAAAATTATTTCTGCTTATATCTAGATATCAATTTCTATACAGTGTTACTATGACCTGTCCCCACCCTGACCCCCTTTCTGTCTCTGTGTTTTTTTTGTTGTTTGTTTTTTTACAGAGACAAAGTCTCACTTTATTGCTCTCAGTAGAGTGCCGTAGCATCACAGCTCACAAGCAACCTCCAACTCCTAGGCTTAGGTGATTCTCCTGCTTCAGCCTCCCGAGCAGCTGGGACTACAGGCGCCCACAACACCCAGCTATTTTTTTTTTTTGAGACAGAGCCTCAAGCTATCCCCCTGGGTAGAGTGCCATGGCATCACGCTCACAGCAACCTCCAACTCCTGGACTCAAGCGAGTCTCCTGTCTCAGCCTCCCAAGTAGCTGGGACTATAGGCTCCCGCCACAACGCCTGGCCATTTTTTTTTTTTTTTTGGTTGCAGCCATCATTGTTGTTTGCCAGGCCCGGGCTGGGGATTTGAACCTGCCATCTTAGGTGTATGTGGCTGGCGCCTTAGCCTCTTGAGCCACAGGCACCGAACCAACACCCAGCTATTTTTTTGTTGTTGTTGCAGTTTGGCTAGGGCCGGGTTTGAACCCGCCACCCTCAGTATATGGGGCCAGCACCCTACTCACTGAGCCACAGGCACCGCCCCTGTCTGTGTGTTTTTTGTCTTGGACATTCCATTGCTTGTCACTCTTTTGCTGAGGCAGGATAAGCAGATTATAAAGATGTAAAACAAAGACCTCACTGATTCACCAATTCACATTTCAGGTTAGTGAAAGCAGAAGCAGACATTTTAGGATAAAATAGAAATTTTGGATTATGGATTTAATTTCCTGTGATTCTGCCTCTAATTACTGTAAGGAGCTGTCCGTGCTGACAGACATAAACCTCACAGCCCTTTGGTCCACAGCTCTAGCCCAGCCTTGCTACTTACCAGCAGTGACCAGAGTTAGGGCTATACCACTCCTCACACAATATCATCCTGTTTAACTTTAACCAGCCAATAATAACTAGCCCATTTGTATCGTGCCAGTACCTCCTTGATTAGAAACCCAAAAACAACTCCATAGAATTTTAAGGAAATCTTCAGTATACTCATAAATAATTTTATGTCTCTTTTTGCAAGCAAATCCACTAGAGTTTTCTTTGAATTTTTGTTTCTTTTGATACTTTCTCTCTTTGTTCTGCCACGGACACCAGATCTCACAAACATCAGGCATCAACCATTTTGGGGATGACCAAACCATTGTCTCACCAAGATGTCAGCTCCACCATGAAGTTCTCTGAAGGAAGCACTATTTGAAAAGGAAACATTTCATGGAGAACCATCTTCTTAGGAAATGAGCCGGGAAAGAGTGATGCCCACAAGCCTTTGCCTGCAGTATCCATCCAGCTCCCCTCCCTGGTGTGAGAGGCACCTTCTGACTGAACCCTGGGTCCCAAAGTCCAGCAAGGACAGCAGATCCACTGACAAACCACAATCTCAGTTATGACTAAAGACGTTTCTTAAAAGCTCACTTCGGAGCTCTCAGAAAACATATCAGACAACTGAATGGCACGCAGGGAGCAGTCTTTAAAGTGATTAAGAAGAAAGATGACTTGATTCACCTAAAATGATTGACTGCATTGCACACAATGTGTTTTAACAGCTTCTAAGGGACATGTTACCATCATCCATCAATGCCAACCACCCACAGAGCAAGAGTTGTGGCAGGTTCAAGGGGTGTGGAGTGGGAGTGTCACAGGAAAGATGCTGCTTCATCCCAAGGAAAGGTTCTTTTAGCGTCACACTCTGATGTTTTCTATGTGAGCAAAGTGTCACATGAAAAAGATAATTCTGCAAACAGACACTTAGCCTCTAAAAGTACCTTTGTTTCTTATAAAATCCAACAGCAGAAATGAAAACTATGGATGAATTTATAAAGATTATACTTCGGTTAAGGCCATTTAAAAATGTAATGTTAACATGCATGAAAAGGAGCATATCTTCTTCTTTTTCTTTTTTTTTCCCCCTTTTTGCAGTTTTGACTGGGGCCAGGCTTGAACCTACCACCCCCCGGTATATGTGGCCAGCACCCCACTCCTTGAGCCACAGGCGCTGCCCAGGAGCATATCTTCTTCTTCTTTTGTTTTTTTTTTTTTTTGTGGAGACGGAGTCTCACTTTGTAGCCCTTAGTAGAGTGCCGTGGCGTCACAGCTCATAGCAACCTCCAACTTCTGGGCTTAAGTGATTCTCTTGCTTCAGCCTCCCGAGTAGCTGAGACTACAGGCACCCACCACAACGCCCGGCTATCTTTTGGTTGCTGGGCTGGGTTTGAACCCGCCACCCTTGGTATATGGGGCTGGCGCCCTACTCACTGAGCCACAGGTGCCACCCAGGAGCAATCTTAATAATTCATCTCATGAGTTTTCCAAGAAATTACTCCTACATAAAATGATTTTATAGTCATAATTGTCTCTTCAGAAGATTTGATGATTTAAATAGCATCACTTTTTTTTTTTTTTGAGACAGAGTCTTTAGCTGTCACCCTGGGTAGAGTGCTGTGGCATCACTGCTCACAGCAACCTCAAACTCTTGGGCTTAAGCAATCCTCTTGCCTCAGCCTCCCAAGTAGCTGGGACTACAGGTGCCCACCACAACGTCTGGCTATTTTTGGTTATAGTTGTCATTGTTGTTTGGCGGGCCAGGGCTGGATTCGAACCCACTAGCTCCAGTGTATGTGGTTGGTGTCTTAGCTGCTTGAGCTATAGGTGCTGAGCCAACAGCATCACATATTTTTAAAAAGGAACTACCTGGGGCAGAAAATGACCAACAGATAACCAAAAACAATGATTTTTAAATAGAAAATAACTTCTGGATATCAGTTTAATACTTTTCTATTAGCTGCATAATGAAGGGTAAGCCCAATGCAGGAGACATCCGGTCAGAATTCCTTCCCAGGCCAAACTAAACTTGTGTTTGAGCAGTTCATAAGGAATGGCTCTCTACATACGGAGCCTCCCTTTCCATTCCTCTCTTCGCCCTCAAATATAGACAGAAATTGACAAAACATAGTCTTTTCAGGCCACAGGACATCAATAATCTATAGAGTCGGACCCTCAATAATCAGTCATTGTTCTTAGGTAAGAAATGTAAAAAAATTAATTCATGTGATTGTCTAATAATGACCACTTGTACAACACATTCAATAAATATTTATTGAATGTCTAACATAAACACTGTACTAGGCTCTGGGAACGGCAATGGTGAGTAGACAGCTTACTTTGTCTAGCAGAGACACAGACATGGCTCTGCAGGAAAACATGACAGGGCAGAGGAAGAATGACCAGGAGGTGCTGAGAAAGAAAGGGTAAGGAAAGGCCTCTGTCAGGAAGAACATGAGGAAGGGGAGGGCAACACCACCAAGCTCAAGAATCTGGCTTGTCGCACAGTCTGTGGGCACTCAGAAAAGCTGAGCGCCACTGTAGAACAGCAGCCGTGGAACCCTGCAGAGCACTCGAGTATAGAAAGGAGGGAAGACAGGCCAGGCTAGCGTTCAGGAGATAGATACACCATAGCTGCTAGACAGATGATGGACGATGATGAGGATCACAAGATGATAGGGACAGTAGCAATAAGGAGGGTCTGCCAGATGCAAGACATCTGCTGGAAGTGTCAACTAAAATGAGAACCTCCAACACATTTCTGTGTGACACGCTCCTAGCTTACTCTCACAGAGGGCTGAGCAAAGTGTAACTCTGATCTCACTTTGATCTATTTTAATTTTAAAGGCAGAGGCTGACAGGGTGGAGACTCAGCTGGTAAAGCAGAAACACCAAGAGCCTAGAAGGAAGTGCTGAAGGGGAGGCTGGTGCCAGTCAGGTCTGGACTCTGAAAGAGCCAATTTTAAATGTTCAAAGAAAATATATGCACAGCCTGAAACTCAAAAAGGAAGAAGCTTCAAGAGGAACAAGAGACCACACAGCCAGGAATTGTCCCTGCAGATGAGAAAACAGGGAGGTGGAAGGTGCTGACAGGAGCCCCAGGGAGCATCCTAATAGCTCAAATTTTTAAAGAGCAGGTACAAAAAGATGAAGAGAAGGGCCATAACAAAGAGTAGCACAGCTCACAGCAATACTTGCAAAAATACTAAAGACAAAAAATTTTTTAAAGAACAGTTTTAAGGTTATGTTTGAAACAAAAAGAACAAGAAAGACAGCCTGCTATGAAGGATGGTGGTTCTCAGATGGAAAGAAGAAAGGAAGGGATGATCTTCAAACCAGGAGGGAAGAGCAGAACTTGGTGAGAGGGATTAGGTGAGAGACTGGGACCTGGAGATCAAATGACTCCTCTCAGCCAGGTGAATTCACCCCAGAGTAGGGAGAAAATGAACAGGCGAATGCAGCCAACAGCCCTGAGAGGTGTGGTGAATCTGGGATGGGGACGATTCAACAGACAAAGAAGGGTGTATGTGGTCCCCATTCTCAAAGAGATGCCAACGGAGCACTTTTCAGATCATCTGAAACTCCAGAACAGTACTAAATGCAAAGTTATGAGCACTTAGAGGAAGAAAGAAGCCCTGGATGAGAGACCCTCCAGGAGATGCTCACGAGAAGTTAACAGGAGAGACAAGGCGGACTGGGTGGATGGAGACAGGAAAAACACAGATCTCCATAAGGTATCTGGTGAGTCCTCCCATGATGCCTTTGCAAATGTGATGGAGAAATGTCAGCTAAAAGACACTCCAGTTACGAGGATTCATGATGTTAAATGATCACAATCATGAAATATGGGATTCTTAACAGCTAGAAGAAATCTGTTTAGGGCACTTGGAACATTAAGCAAGGTAGTCGGTAAAAAAAACTTGGAGAATATGGCCTTGGAAGACAGAAGACATGAGGGGACAGTGCCGCAAACACCTCGAGACAGGAGATCACACCACGATAGCCCTCAGAATAAAGCACAAGGGTAGGGGTCAGAGCTGTGGTCCAGGGCCAGAGGTCAGGCATGGGTGCTCAACAGGGTGACCTCTATGGGCCTCCAAATTTATGGTAAAAATTGGGTCTTAAAACCAAGATGCTGGCAGGGTCATGCTCCTTCTGGGGGCCCTAGAGAAGACTCTGCTTCCTGCCTCTCCCAGGTTCCAGCCTTCTCTGGCTTGCAGCCCCCCATTCCCATGCCATTCCTGCCTTGTTTTTCTTCTCTGACTCTACTCTTCTGCCTTTTACTAAAATCATTAAAATTGCAATGGGCCTACCCAGATATCCAGAATAGCCCCGTTATATAGTAAAATATATTTGAAGATCCCAGGGATTAGGAGGCAGCATCTCTAGGGAGCCAATGCTCTGTCCCTCACAGGGGCGTCTCAAGCCTTGGGGTAAGATGGACTCTGTGCCTGCAGGGCTCGGGCTGAGGAGCCTGCTCTGCCGAGACATGGGCTCTGAGATGCATTGCCCCATGGGCTTAAAATCCAAACCATGAAAACAATTTTTTAAAACACAGGAACAAAAGGGAACTTGCCACCTTTAGTATAAGTTCACTGTAGTTAATTATAAACACTGCAAAGATACCAAGCTTTTCTCAAAAGTCTCGTCTTAACAGAACAATTAAATATTAACTTTTTGGTAGGCTATAAAGGTTATTTCCTTATAAATTCCTGTTTATAGGCTTACCTGGCCATTAAAATAGAGGGACAAACATTAACACTGAACCAGATGGATCAGCGTTTATGATTACCCCCAAATTTCCCTGTGCTGGTTTGGAGCTTTAGGGGAAATACATGAAATATTGAGAAAAAAATTCATGATTATAGTAAAATTACTCAGATCTATTATCTATCATCCCTTCTTTTCCTGTTCACATTTTATCACTATTAATTTCTCTTGCCTCCAACCATTTATCTCCAATCCCAACTACAGGTTAGTCATTAAAATAGAGCTTATCATTTATATTTTCTTTAAAATTTAGCCCCAAATGAGAAATTTTTAAAAAATTCATAGAATTAGAAAATAACTTTTCCCCTGAGTTTTAAGTCTTATCTCTCAAGGAACTATGCTGATTATGGTCAGACAAGAGGGTGGGCGGTCTCCTCATTCCTCCCCACTGTGCTTCTGGCACAGAGACTCATGTGGTGACAGCATGAGCCCTTCACTGGCCAGAGAGGCAGGAGGTAGGACAGGGCCTTACTTTACTGTCCTTGTCTGGCCTGGATGCTGAGCTGCTCCCACATGCTGAAGAAGTGCTGTCAGGTGACGTGGGATGTCCAGGAAGAACGGTCACCGTCCGGCCACTAGGTTCGTTCTCCAGAGAGGCGGCAGGAACACTCTGGGAGGTCAGCGACGCAGGTGCCGTGCAGGCCAGGGGGGCACTGGCTCGACTGGGACCACCAGTAGCAGCATGGGGGGCGGGGCCGGCCGTGGTGGGCAAGGGGTGAGGGGAGGCCAGCATGTGGGGAGGTAGCCCCCCTGCTGTGGGGCCGAGGCAGGTGGTGCTCTGGACCTGGATGGGTGTCACTGCTGCTGTAGGGCGTTCTTGGCTGTGAGCTGAGTCTAGGAAATGACAGGAGGGAATATGGCAACATTCAACTCTCTGGTACATGCTGCTCACTAGAGTAGGGGTGCCCACGGCCCAGGCCACAGCAAGAAGCCACCCAATGCATGGGGCTACCCATTGCACAGGCCATACATAGCAGGGGCCACCCATGACAGGGGCTATAGCAAAGGGGTCACCGATGGCCCAGGCCTCAGCAAGGAGCCACTGCATTTTCCACAACAAGGAGTTTAGTCTCAGTGGGTTCCTAGATACCGTTTTACCACCAGGTCAGCCCCTGAGTCTCCGAGTGCTTCACCCTTCAGTCAGGAGAAAGTACTTCTGCAGTCCATGGCACACAGGTCAAACCAGGCTGCCATCCAGCCCATCCCCTTCTCTCAGTGACTATTTCCCCCCTCCTTTCCTATTTTTCTGGCAGAACTCTGAAGCCTTTAGTTTGCCCTGTGGTTGGGTGCCATATTCTAGTTAGGTGCTCGTATTGCAGAACTGAGAGGGCTACAACCCCCAGGGACTAAAGTGGATGTGAGTACATCCACCAGAGATGGTCAGCATGATGGTGAGCAGAGCAACATACAAGATCACCTGGCTGGAGGCAGTGAGGCCTCTGACCATAGAAGTCACACATTCTAGTCCACTGACACTACTGGGACCAGCCAAACATCTCTACCGTTAGATTTGTGGGTGGACCTGAGTTAAGTACAGGGTTGGCCCAGCCTAAACACAAGTGCAAAGTGAGTGCCCCAGCTAGAAACTGGCATATATTTAACGCCAGTTTCCATTTCCTAATGTTCCTCCTCTTTTTAACGTCCCATCCTGGCTGTTCCAGGCTGGGCTCCTCCTTACCTGTCCTCACAGCATTGCGGGCCTGGCTGACTGTCATTTGCCCCGTCATGTGCAACAGGACCTTAGCCTGGGGACTCGTCTGCATGTGAGCTGCTGATACCACGGCAGTGGGGACAACACCAGGGCTCCCAGCCATGCCATTTCCCTGGAGCTTCTGGGCAGGCCCTCCCGCAGTGGACGGACTGACCATAGTCACCCCCCGACTTATCTGGCCAGCAGTAGACACAGGGACTTTAGCTTGGGAAACATTTGTCACCGTCCTGCCAAGACAGAAACACATATGGAAGCCACATCCATCAGCAAAATGGGAGACAGAATGATTAAATGCAAGAAAAATGACTCAGAACTTTAAGGACAGAACATTTTTTAAAATGAATGAAATTATTTTTATAAAGCTTAGGAATAACTAATGCAAAGTAACGATGGCCCTGAGGAAAAGAAAGGTCTTGGCTCGGTGCCTATAGCTCAACCGGCTAAGGCGCCAGCCACATACACCTAAGGTGGCGGGTTCGAATCCCCAGCCCGGGCCCGCCAAACAACTATGATGGCTGCAACCAAAAAAAAAAAGCCAGGCGTTGTGGCGGGCGTCTGTGGTCCCAGCTACTTGGGAGGCGGAGGCAGGAGACTCGCTTGAGCCCAGGAGTTGGAGGTTGCTGTGAGCTGTAATGCCACAGCACTCTACCCAGGGGGACAGCTTGAGGCTCTGTCTCAAAAAAAAAAAAAAAAAAAAAAAAAAAAAAAAGAAAGGTCTTTAAGTCACCAGAAACCACAAAGCAGGCTCAAGGATACACAGCTACTGTGCTCAGCACCCTGACGTGAGGCCCGACTCTGTCCCCACCTGCCTGGCCTGGCTCCATGTTCTGACCATCTTCCTGCTTGTCTTCCCCCATAGTACACAGCTCTGGTGCACATGCACACATGTATATGGACACACAGACACACACTACTGGAATCTCCTTCCTGGTTTTTCTTGGCCTATCTTAATTTCACTTATGTTTCAAGATCCAGCACAAATCCTGTCCTTTAAGAAACTGTGCTACAGGCCTGGTTTGAGACCTTGTGATCACACCACCTCACGTGGACTTCTTCTTTGTCCTGTCTCTACCCAGCATAGTTGTTTGTGCTCTGGCTCTGGAATGTAAAACGTGGTGTCTTAAAAAAGTTCCTAATTGAGCACCGCTGACTCGCTGACTCAGTGGAGACTCCTCAAAGGCAGGGCCAGTGTGAAATGGTTCCTTCTCACCCACCCTACATTTGCCGCTCACAGGGTTTCAGCCAGGTCCAAACAGATCCTTAGGCACTGGATGAATTTAATTAAATTGGGTCCAACCTTGTTTTGTGTAAGGGAATTTTTTGATATTCTAAGTTCACTTAAATGATCACAATTCTGTACACAATAACTTTCTACTAAGTAAAGTGCTCTACTAACTCAAGCATCCTTATTATTTACCACAATGAACAACAGGATTTACTGTAAGCAATCATTTCTCCAGAGTTAAGGAAGAACAGGGTTTTGATACTTTGTCTATTTGTTTATTTGTCTTATAAAAATGCTTTTCCGTCATGACCCTCATTTCCTGTTGCTGTCTATCCTGTTTCCTTGGTTTATTATTATTTAGCACCAAGGAGGCGCTACATGAGTTTTCTGGACAGGATGGATCCTGAGTGCAGATTTTTAACATACACAAAAAATGTTTACACTGACGAAAAATTTGCAAGTCAAATTAAAGCTAACATTCCTCCACCATCTGCAACAATAGTGATTTTCATTTGATTAGGCTGTTGTCCAACCTATAAATTAAGGCCAACAGCTGAGAGACATGTCAGTTCATGAAGTTGTCTATTTAAAATCAGGGGGTTTGAGGAGTGATTTAATACAGTTAAAACTGGACCATTAATTGAGAATCCAGTGGTCAAAAAGCAGAGTTCCCTCAGTGCTGATTTCCTCAGAGGTCATTTCATTCTTTCTCCAAAGCTACCTTTCCTCAGTGGATTATCTTTAAATAAAGAAAATTTTATAAATTTAGAGCTCCAATCCTCCATAACAGAATTCCTCAACCTCAGTGATATTTTGGGCCAGATTATTCCTTTTTTTTTTTTGTGAAAAGTTGTCCTTGGCATTCTATACAGGAGGTTCAGCAGCACCTCTGACCTCTGCCCACTAAATGTAGCGTCCCTACCTCTAGCTGTGACAATCAAAACTATATCCAGATGTTGCTCTAGGGAGCAAAATCACCCTCAATCAGGAAGGATCTACACTATCCTTAAAAATTTTCCTTTGATCTATTATAGAATCGCTTGTCAGACTTCACAGTAATCACCAAATTAATAGAAGGAATACAAGATCTAGACCATGTGGAGTTGGGGAACTTCCACACTGCATAACCTCAGGCAAGTCATTTCATCTCCTGGTGCCTCAGTTTTCTCATCCATTACATGTGCTATTATGTATAACATACATGCTACTACATCAACGAATTGCTTAAGGACTTAACGTTAATAAGCATAATGCATTTAGAAATGTGCTTGGCATGTAAGTATTAATTTGTTTTATTTAATTAAACACTGCACTTTTTATCTTCTACAAGAAAAATATTGAAAATAGTGTAGTTCAGTATTCTTACAGATAAATTAAAGCAAATAACTTAAAACTCAGTACATTCAGGCCGGGCACAGTGGCTCACACCTGCAATCCTAAAACTCTGGGAGGCTGAGGTGGGTGGACTGCTTGAGCTCACAAGTTCAAGACCAGCCTGAGCAAATAGTGAGGCCCCAGCTCTACTAAAAATAGAAAAAACTGAGGCAAGAGGATCGCTTGAGCCCAACTTGCAGGTTGCTGTGAGTGATGATGACACCATAGCACTCTATACCCAGGGTGACAGCTTGAGACTCTGTCTCCAAAAAACAAAAAAAAGAACTCGGTACATTTATTGGTAGAAATCTATAACTTCACATATATCCATGTGAAAAGTACACTAAGAATTTTTGAATTACAAGGGATTTTAGCAGACAGAGATGAGGGATGAGGATTTTTAAAAACTTGGGCTATGGGCCAGGCATGGAGGCTCACCCCTGTAATCTCAGTACTCTGGGAGGCCAAGGCAGGAGAATCCCTTGAACTCAGGAGTTCAAGACCAACCTAATCAAAAACGAGACCCTGTCTCTACTAAAAATAGAAAAATCGGCTCGGCGCCTGTGGCTCAAGTGGCTAAGGCGCCAGCCACATACACCTACAGTGGTGGGTTCAAATCCAGCCCGGGCCCACCAAACAACAATGACGGCTGCAACCAAAAAATAGCTGGGCGTTGTGGTCCCAGCTACTTGGGAGGCTAAGGCAGGAGACTTGCTTGAACCCAGGACTTGAAGGTTACTGTGAGCTGTGATGCCACGACACTCTACCCAGGGGGACAGCTTGAGGTTCTGTCTCAAAAATAAAAAATAAGTAAATAAATAAATAAAATAAAACTTGGGCTATGTAATAGGCAATTACAGTGTGAGAAGAAATCTAAATAGGATGGAAACAGTGGAGAAGAACAAAGCTTTCTGTTTAGAACTAAGCAGACCACTCACTCAGAGCCTCACCTGGTAACTGGGGCCATATAATTGCCAGGGAAGACCCCTGTTCTACTGGTGTGCATCGATGTGCCTTTGAACCAGCCATCCTGGCAGCGCTCAAACACTAGAAACATCTCCCCTTTCCTTAGCTCCAGCTCATCTTCCTTGCGGGGAGTATAAGGATACACAGCCATGTACCTACAAGAGAAAGGGTACTGGGTTCCAGGCTGAGCAGCAGACAACCCCACAATGCTCAGAGGTCTCCCCAGGCAAAGCCTTGAATACTGTGTACAGATGTGAACAGAGAGTGTGACCCTATAAACAGTGGGCAGCACTGGAAGGGGCTCCACCGTCTACATTTCAAATGTGGGCAAAGGCCTCCTGATGGGCGTGTGCCAACCTTGTTCCCTATGACTGTCCCACAAGTGAGTAGCATCTGCGTAGCATGAAAGAATCAATGCAGCTCCCAAGGGGGATGACCTGCTCTAGGGACAAGCACCTACTCCGAATCAGGCTCATCACACGGCACCTGCCAGACTGGGCAGCAACCCCAGGTGAGGACAACCAATAGGAAACCCCTCTGGGGCACAACTTGCTGCCCATCACACACAAGCTGGAGGCCTAGGCTACACCTGCTCAGCCAGGAAGAAGACAGGATCTGAAGAAGTCAAAGGAAAAGACAGTGTAGGTCCTGGAGAATACGAGATAGCCCCACATACCAGGTGATGGCATCACGGGGACCCACAGACCAGTCAGGCCACACGAGCCACAGTTCATAGGCATGAGGCCACAGATCCTGCCTTGGCTCTGCCTCCAGCAAACTCTCAACAGGATAACTAAGCTTCCTGGATGCTTAGAGATAGGAACTTACAGGTTTTTACATTCACACACCAGCTAGATCTGGGTCTGATCTGTGGGGAATACTTCCCTGTGCATCAGTATCTTCATTGAAATGATGAAAAAAAAAGACAGAAGCTCAAACAGAAGCTGCACAAAAAGGGCAGCTCTAGTAACACATAATACATGTTATACAGAAGCAAACGGTGTGTCTCCCTAAACTAAGAAAGGCCTCACTCAGCAGCACTGCAGCCTGGCAGCTTGAATGTTAGGCCCACTTTCTTTCAGCTGTTTCCTGATCATATGCAGGACAGGGTTCAATCCTGTAGAACAGAGACCACTTAGACCTCATATCAGAAAGGAGTTTCTCTGCCTCTGCTGTTCAACTAGGTTCTAGACAACACTCATGCAGGGGACGAGTGGTACCCTCACTTACACGCTGGGGCGAGGCTGAGGCCGTGAGTGTGCAGGCTGCTCAGCGGCCCCCGCCCCGGGCCTCGGTCCCATTCCAGCAGCAGCACCTGGCAGCATGGAGGCGAGGACAGTGGCAGTCAGGAGAGGTGGTGGAGGGAGAGGAGGATTCATACTCTGATATGGGAAAAAGAAAAAAAAAAAAGAAGGAAAAAGAGAACAAAACACTGACTTACATCTTCCTCAGAAGGTGAAAGGGAAAACCAGAAATCCACAGAATAAGACTTTAATGGAATCCACACAGGGTGGAACCAGGAGGCCACCTCCTATAAAAGTCCCCTTTAAAAGTTCATCCCTTGCGCTCCTTTAAGATCTTAAAGCCACAGCAGCCTTTTCAGCAAACAGGTTAAGTGATCAGCCTTGTGAAAAGGGAGAGAAACAATGAAACAATTGCATGTGATATTACATTAAGAGCATTTTTAAGTAGGGAAGTCTCTTGTGGGGCCAGCCCTCAACAATGTCACACTGTTTGCTAGGGATTAATCTATGGTTGTTTCTGTCACCTGAGACTGAGACACCACATGGGTCGATCAGGCTGCACCTCAAATCTTCCCTTCTGAAGAAAATGCCCAAGCAACAGCAAGCTGGTTAGTCACTGGGCTATTATTACTATTTTTGGTTTATTCTTTTCTTAACTTTGCCAGCTTTTGAAAGCTGGTACTATCATGGCTGGTGATTTTCATAAGGCTGTGATAGGCTGCCCAGCCTTATTAAAATCAACGGAGCAATTGTTACCTTCAGATCTATAAACCTCTGAAACTCCTGGGAAAACAGGCACATAAAAACCTGGGTCCCCACCTCACCCTCCCCAAATCTTTGAATCACTGGATGTAAAAACTAAATAGAGGAGACTGGAATAAGGAGACTGAAGAACACACTGAGGTACATAAATGGGTTCTACACATCAGCACATACACAACCAGAGAAACCAAACTTCTAAACACAGCTTATCATCGCCATATTATTTCTGTTTCCTATAATAAAGCTTGAGTGAAATAGAAGTTTACTCCATCGGTCTGTTAATATGTGTATATAGCTTCAAATATAAAGTGAGTAGAAAAATAATACAAATTTCTAGACATGTGGCAAGTATTTCCCACATTGTATTTAGTTTTTGTTAAAGTGACTTTCAAAATTCTTTTTTTTTTTTTGAGAAAGTCTTACTTTGTCACCCTCATTAAGAGTGCCATGGCATAATAGCTCATAGCAACCTCAAACTCCTGGGCTCAAGCAATCCTCCTGCTTCATTCAGCTTACTGAGTAGCTGGGACTACAGGTACCCGCCACTGCTCCTGCTAGTTTTTCTATTTTCAATAAAGCCGGGTATTGCTGTTGCTCAGTCTGATCTCCAACTCCTGAGTTCAGGCAATCTACCAGGCTCAGCCACCTAGAGTGCTAGGATTACAGGTGTGCCTGGCTAACGTGACTTTAATTACGGGTTTTTCCCATACTGTAGCTGAAGTTGTTGCTGAAATAAATGAGGCGCAGAGCTGCTTCCAGAGTGCTAACCCAAGGAAGAGGTCAGTTCAAGTTAGAATGTTAGGAAAACATTACTCTCTACAGCTCTGGAGTTTACATGTCCTGGGGCTTAGAGCCTCTACACCTTTAAAGGGGAGAAGGACAAGCATTCCGTCTGTCAGGCCTCCGTCCAGTGACAAAGCAGATAAAGACAATCTTAGTAAAGTACTCAGCAAATGTGACCTGGGCAGTTCTTGGATGACAGCTCATCAGTTACTAGACAGGTACCATACCAAGTCTGCATGGTGCACAAAGTAACACATGAGAAACTGAGATTACCACTCAAGAGATTTCCATTTAAATCTTTCTAAGCCCGATCTCAAAAGGATATGGTTGTAGGAAGACAAAAGACAAATGGCACATGCGCAACATAAGGATGAAATCGTCTCCTATAGCCTGACTTGATTAACACAGATGCTGTGTAAACTGGCCCTAAGAAGAAAGAGGCAAAAAATACCTATGAACCTGATAAAAAATATTTCATATTTTATGAAAAAATCGAAAGCAATATCACTTATCATTACAAAATACACTCTGCAAATGGTTCCCATACATTACTTTTGCAAAGAGTGGAAGTTAGACATTGAGATGCAGCATCAAAGAAGATATTTTTCAAAAACTCCTACAGGCTAAGCCTGTAGGGGAAAAAAGTTACTTCTCTTTTTAGTTGAAACAAAGGCAATCTTAATAAAACTGGGCATATTGACTCCCGTTGCTGGATAAGCATGTGCAGGGGAAGACCAGGAAGAAAGTATGACTAAAATCAGATTCCCTGATGCTATTAAAGTGATCCTGTAAGCCCTGGGCTGTGACGTGGCAGGAAGTTCAGTGAGCTGCTTTATAAACAACCTAAACAAAAGGACCTGGTGATGTGGCCATTCCTGCTACTTGTATGTAGATGTGGAATTTAAAAGCTAAGCCTCTGCACACCGTGCCACAGGCAGTGTGCTGCCCTGCAAGGCCTGCTGTCCCTGGACCTCTGCCATCATTTCGAGCTGTGGGCCAGCCCAGGCTCCTCTCCACTAGCTAAAGAAATCTGTGAGCCTGCTAGAAACACAGGTCCCCTGTTTTAACAGCATCTTCTTCACTAACACCAGACCTCAGAATCAACCTGCTAAAGGGAAATGGTCGAATCTTGCCACGTCCATGCTTTGTTCTCCTGACCCACTAATCTCTACATGTGAGACAGTCAACAAGGCAGAGATTCCGGCCCTGACGTAGCCTCACAAGGCAGTCCTCAACTGCTCTCCTTTGCTAGAGTGAGCCCTAGAGGGGGAAGTATCTTCTCTCTGAGTGGGCGACACTTCAAGACACCAGTAGGCGATGTCTGCTACTGACCAACACTGTGGGTGTAAAGGTCAATACATGAACATGAGACCTCCTTCCCTTCCCTCCAGCCCCTTGGTACAACCAGTCCAGAGAGTGGTTAGACTGGATGTGGCTAAGACAATCCAGTTGTCTCAGGACTGGACCTGGGGCTACTGGTCAGCTCCTCAGCAAAGCGCTTTGCATGGAAGTTCTGGGCACAGGTTCAACTGATAGTAAAGGGTTTGTTTCATTTCCAGCTGTCCTAATGTGTCCATTTCCCTCACATGCCTCCCATGGTAGGAAAGTGACCGGCAGGACAGACTGAACATTTGTGGGTTCCTGGGGCAGGTATCACTCAATATTCCCCAACTCCATCATCTACCATCATTTCCTTCTGAACATCTGTTTTCTAGTCAACTCAATCTCAACCCTAACTCGGCATCTCTAAGTGGTCTTTCTGTACATCAAGCTCCCATGTCCAAGAACCCAACTCCAAGTCTGGGAACTAAGCACCCAGCTCTGAGTCCCAAGCTCCTGGCTCTAGCCCCTGAGTATCCAGCTCTGACGCCCAAGCACCAAGCTCCCGTGTGGAAATGCCCTCAAGTCAGCAGTGCTGCCATCTCAATGCAGATTTCTTATTCCACATCTGATCTATAAGCAAAAGATCTAGCAAGTTGTGTGAATTCCATAAGGTCTCTGCCTCACTACACCAATCTGAGAGAAAGAATTAAGGATCAAAAACTGTTTTCCCAGTGCCCTGAAGCACAGCAGAAGCTTAGCAGGCGGGAGGTACTGTGACAATGTGTGGGGCTGTGAGACAGAGACTGTCTTCCTCGCTTCGTAGCCAGAGGACAGAGACCCTCAGTGAGGTCTTGTGGTGACTCGGGACTCCAAGAGGTGCTCAGCTCCTGACTGCTGCCATCTGACTGGACTACTACTTTGGACATGTGGACCACACCCTACTCCTCGTTCCTATTTTCAGACAATGCCAAAGGCTCTATGTCTACTTCTCACACTGCCAAGGCTTGCGCCCAGCCTTGCTTCCAGAGCTCCTCTTTGACCCCACTGATAGCAATAAATGCTGCTCCACTGTGAGCTGCAGCGAAATGAAGCCACTCAGGGTGTTCTGAGACCTGACATCATTAAACTTCATTTCTTTACATGAATGTGTGTGTGTATAAAACTTTTACATTAATGTGACATATTTTTGGAATGCAGTCTGCTTATAAGTTGGCTGTGGGGTGGTATCTGTCCTTTACTGACTTGGCTACCTTGTAACATCTTGCAGCTAAACACCTCTAGGCTGACACAGAGGACCAATGATTATTAGTCACTTGTTTTACAAGTTCTCCTGAAACTGAACAGAAGATACAAGACATAAAACCAAGAACTTCACCTTACTCCCAACAAGTAAAAAACAAAAAACCCACTAATATAAATTATCTGATTTAGACACATGTAGTACCAGTTTTGCTCATTATGTTAAACATTTAAATTTTTTTTTTTTTTTTTTTGGAGATAGAACCTCAAGCTGTCCCCTGGGTAGAGTGCCGTGGCATCACAGCTCACAGCAACCTCCAACTCCTGGGCTCAAGCAAGTCTCCTGCCCCAGCCTCCCAAGTAGCTGGGACCACAGGCGCCCACCACAACGCCCGGCTATTTTTTGGTTGCAGCCATCATTGTTGTTTGGCGGGCCCAGGCTGGATTTGAACCTGCCACCTTAGGTGTATGTGACTGGCGCCTTAGCCACTTGAACCATAGGCACCGAGCCTAAACATTTAAAATTTTAACTGTTATGTGTGACTATTACATGTCAGTATGTCCATAACTGCATTCTGCATAAAAGATTCAGAAGTTTCAATTCAGGCAGGGCTCCTGGCCCCACCTGCACTCTGGGAGGCTGAGACAGGAGAATCACTTGAGCTCAGGAGTTTGAGACCAGTCTGAGCAAGAGTGAGACCCAGTCTCTACTAAAAATAGAGAAAGTAGCCAGATGTTATGGCAGGCACCTGTAGTCACAACTACTCAAGAGGCTGAGACAGGAAGATCTCTTAAGCCCAGGAGTTTGAGGTTGCTGTGAGCTATGACACCACTGCACTCTAGCCAGTGTGCCACTGTGAAACTCTCTCTCTCAAAAAAAAAGTTTCATTTTTTAAAAAGTACTAGTGAACAGCATTATGTCTTTTCTTTTCTTTTCTTTTCTTTTTTGGAGACAGAATCTCACTATGTCACCCTGGTGAGAGTGCCGTGGCTTCACAGCTCACAGCAACCTCAAACTCTTAGGCGTAAGTAATTCTCTTGCCTCAGCCTCCCAATTAGCTGGGACTACAGGTGCCCACCACAACCACTGGCTATTTTTTGGTTGCATTTGTCATTGTTGTTCAGCAGGCCAGGGCCAGGCTTGAACCTGCCAGCTTTGGTGTATGTGGCTGGTGCCCTACTCACTGAGCTATGGGCACCGAGCCAGCATTATGTGTTTTCTACCAAGCCACACACTATTGGTGTGATGGTTCTAAGAGTATTCAGAAATACTCCAAATTTTAAATAGAACACTTGAACTAACAGAAGAAGCTGGGGGCACATAACACATAAACCTAACATATTAAACCTGAACATTTCTGCCACTCTAGCAGGGACTTTAAGATCTAGATATCTCCTGGGATGAAAGGTCTGTTTATGATTAGTTTTTCAATAAATGGAATTGGCACAGCAGACATACTATTTAGTGAAATTTCCTCTTGCTTCACATGCTTACATAATCCTATGCTAAAAAGGTTGAGTGTAAATTGATTTTTGGATATCTATACTCTCTTGTGTTCTGTCCCATTGATCTGCCCTAGGTGAGCCCTCTGCTAACAGCATCTAGCAAAATTATCAGATTTTCAGCCTCAGAGGGCTGCAACTCAGCTAGTGTTACGTCTTTTCCACCACAGACCAAATATCCTTCATCCAAAATGCTTTGGAACAGAAGTATTCTGGATGTTTTTCAGATTTTGGAAAATTTGTATTACTGGTTGAGCATCTCAAATCTGAAATGCTCAATGAACATTCTCTTTGAGTGTCATGTTGGTGACATGGAACTTTTGGATTTTGGAGCATTTCAGGTCTGGGATGCTCAGCCTATAAAAAAGTCAGAATTTTTCCCCCTCAAGAAATTAAGTTGGAGTTTTCTATGTAAGATAGAGATCTGGAAATGAGAATCCCAAATGGTTGTGTGTAAACTGGGCACAGGAGGAGAGAGCATCCCTGGGAGAACAGAACAGGGTGGTTATGGAATTTGGCTCAGGGTCAAACACTTGGAGTGAGTCAAATGCTATGGGAACTAAATTTCAATAAAAGTTAGCTGAAATTCAACTTTTCCTTCACCAAATAGTCATACTGTCAAGGAAGCTATAATCATTCAGGGAACATTAAAAAAAACAAAACCAGCCAAAACAAAACAAAAACAGGGTGGTACCTGTGGCTCAGTGAATAGGGCGCCAGCCCCATATACTGAGGGTGGCAGGTTTGAACCTGGCCCCAGCCGAACTGCAACAAACAAGTAGCCGATGTTGTGGCGGGGACCTGTAGTCCCAGCTACTGGGGAGGCTGAGGCAAGAGAATCAACTAAGCCCAAGAGCTAGAGGTTGCTATGAGCTGTGACACCACCACACTTTACCGAGAGCAACAAAATGAGACCATCTCTTAAACAAACAAAGAAACCTTTAATCTCTAGCTACGTTATTAACTTTCATTTAAACACACGAACATGCTTAACTCTGAAAATTTCCAAACATCTAAGCCAAGTGTCCTCAAACTGCGGCCCGCCAAGGACATTTATCTGGCCCACCAGGTGTTTTTGCTACCGCTGCCTGTCCTGCTTAGCAGCCGACTCATCCTGAGGCCCGCAGTCCAGCCCTCCAACAGTCTGAGAGACAGTGAACTGGCCCCCTGTTTAAAAAGTTTGAGGATCCCTGATAAGCCAAGTTAGGTCATAATTCATATTTATTTCTATCCCACTTTGTTTCAAAATCAGTTTTCAATTATTTATAAAATGTATCAAGACAAAATATGTAAGAGAAAGAGGCAAAGGTAAAATGAAGACAATGAAGGCAAATGGAGCCAAGGTGTCAGCTAATTAGGCTGTGAGTCCCTCCTGGGAAGGGCCTGCAAACCTGGCTCTGGGCATCCCAGCAGAGAAAAATAAAATCTTTACAACATACTTAAAATCCACAACCTAATGACAAACCAGCTTTCAGAAGCTCTACCACTCCAGGCAGAGAGAGCTGAGAAAGCCCTCAAGGGCACTTGGCCCGATGCCTCAGCAGGGGATCAGCAGGATCGGCAGTGCTCATGCCTTCTGTACCCTACACCTCATGTCACTCTACATACAGGTAAGGGCACAGCAGCATGAAAGGCTTGAGGACCCTCTCGGCAGTCACACAACAAATAAGTGGCTAGACTGGGCTTTCCCTTGGGCCTGCTGCACCCTCTGTCAGACACGTATTTTCTTTTTTTTTTTTTTTAGACAGAGCCTCAAGCTGTCCCCCTGGGTAGAGTGCCCTGGCATCACAGCTCACAGCAACCTCCAACTCCTGGGCTCAAGCAAGTCTCCTGCCTCAGCCTCCCGAGTAGCTGGGACCACAAGCGCCCGCCACAACACCCGGCTGTTTTTTTGGTTTCAGCCGTCATTGTTATTTGGCAGGCCCAGGCTGGATTCGAACCTGCCACCTTGTGTATGTGGCTGACACCTTAGCTGCTTAAGCCATAGGCATGGAGCCCAGACACATATTTTCATAGCCAAGTGAATGAACGGGGTGGGCAGTGATGCAGAGGTGCAGGGACGAGGGTGGGCACTCCAGATGAGGTCTGAGTGACAATCTCTTCTATCCTCATTCCACTCACTGGAAAGGCGAGTCTGCATATACATGCCCAGGCTAGAGGATACACGCCTCCCAACCACTGGCCCCTTCCCACACTTTCAGGGAGTGGCAACTGGCGCTGTCACAGCTCTACCACCTGAACTGGGCCACATTTGTTCTTCCCTTTTAATCTTCTCTCCACAGAGGTCCTCTTCTCTATGCCTATCTGTCTTAGCTGTTCTAATTCTCCCTATTATTTTCCCAGTCAGATGTTTTGAATCAATTTGTATGTAAACTCTCTCTGTAGGATATTACACTCTCAGAAAGAAAATCCATGCAATCTAAGGGGGCTTCAGGTAGTGACAGCTAAAGGCTGTGCCAAGGGAAGAAGTTAAAAGAAGCCTGGTGCGGTGGCTCACGCCTGTAATCCTAGCACTCCAAGAGGCTGAGGAAGGTGGATTGCTTTAGCTCAGGAGGTTAAGACCAGTCTGAGCAAGAGCGAGACCCAGTCTCTTAAAAAACAGCTGAGCACTGTGGCTGGTGCCTATAGTCCCAGCTACTCTGGAGGCTGAGGCAAGAGAATCACCTATCACATGAGCCCAAGAGTATGAGGTTGCTGTGAGCTATGATGCCATGACATTCTACCCAGACTCTGTCTCAAAGAAAAAAAAAATAAGTTAAAGGACAAAATCTTTTCATTAAGGTAGAAATTTGGTATTAATTTTTCATTTAAGTCAAAGCAAACCATTAGCCTTTAGAATTTGTGTTCTCAATATTTCTATAAAAGTATCTTTATAAGAAATAAGCTAGAATGGGCACAATGTGAGGGTATATGGGGTATAGGACACAACTACAACAGAGACCTCACATAACAAATACAAACATCATAAACTAATCATTTGTACCTCATTAATCTGAAATAAAAAATAAAATGCTACTAACAAAAAATTAAATTAAATTAAGAAAAAAATAAACTGCTACTAACAAAAAAATTAATTAAATTTAAGAAAAGAAAGAAAGAAAGCAGGATCTAGAAACTCAAAAGAAATAAAGGTTAAGCCTTCAAAAAATCAGATTGAAATTCACTGAAAATTGAATGTATTTTTCAGAATTCTTCTCATGGCTTCAAGCCATTGATTTTCACTATCAAAACCTTTGCTTGTGGCAGGTAAGGGGTTAATGTTTGCTAAAATTAACAGAGATAATAGATGAAAGATAGAGATCCACCTCCCTTAGTGAGTCTCATGGTAAATTGCAGGTGTTAGATGTGGGGTATGCAGGATCATGATGACTAAATATCCAAAGGAGAAATGAAGGAGGGGAATTGATACTCACCCCTAGAGTGGCATGGTAGGGAAGGTCTGAGGGGAAAGCAAATGAGGGGCCAGTTGTCACTGGGCTGCTTGGGGGTGGGGTCACAATTAACCCAGTGGTACTTATATGAACCTGCCAAAAAAAAAAAAAAGTTATTACAGGAAGACTATACTTAACGAGCAGATTACCCTGGATATGCCTTGAGAAGCCCCTTCACATTAGAGATAAACAGCTAGAAGGGCAGTGGAATCCCTCTCAGCCTAGTCCACTTAAGACTTGCTGGCTGCCTCGTCTGCACCAGGCATTTCACTGACACTGGGGAGTCACACAGTAAATACTCATCACTCCAATGCTTATGTCAATGGCTGTCTCCTTTGTACACTGCTGTGAACCAAACTGACCTTCCAGACAGGCAGCCTGGTGCTCATGAGCCTCCTAACCATTTCCCTGGAGACACTGTGAAAGTGGGCTGTGGCTACACATCTCTCCGTCAACACATTAGATTTGTGCAGATTTCTCACAGTAGTTGGCTATTTTTAGGATCTTTTTCATAACTTCTACCTTTCAGTGGGGACAATATGATTAAAATGCAAGCTGCTTGGACAGCCTAGAGCAGATGACTACTTCCAAAACCCTTAAAGGAACAATGTCAAGCCAAATTAGTTATTTTCCAAATCAGTATCATCACCCATGATAGTACTGAAAAGTAATTTACTCGAGAGAAATTTATTCAGCTCAT